CGCCATCTTTGTAAGTCAGAGTGTAGGCAGTTTCATTTGGTTCGGTGTAGTGTACATGTTTTCTAGAAACAGGTGGGACCATTCTGCACATGCTGTGGTGCATCATGCTGGTTTTATTGTGTTCTTGGAGCTTGTGTATTCATGTGTAGAGAGGTCTGTCTTGCTCTTTTTCATGGCTACGCAGTACATATGCTACTGAATCCATCAGTGTGTATCAGTACATAGTTTGCTTATACAGAGTCCACCAAAAAAATGGATCCATGCTTCAGAAAAAGAAAAACTTGTATAAATATTTTAATACTAAATTTATTGAGAGTTGATGAGATTAATACACATTACCTCTTTGGCCTCTGCAATGACAAGGGGTGCTCACAGTGGTGGCCAAGCACTCCCAGACGTTCATTAGCACGGTGAACTGCTGCTTGGTGACCTTGGCCACTGAGACTGCTGTCATATGCATTTTCAATTTGTTCTCCAAGGTCCGCCAGTGCAGAGGGTTTTCTGCGATACACAACATCCTCTAGGGCCCCCATAGGAGAGTAACACCATCTGCTGTAAAAATATCATACAATTTTTTTTCCTGGAGTGTATATATACTTTTCTGGCCAGTTCTCTATACATATTTTGTGTCAGTATACATTATATACAAGTAGAGATTTATTAGGGTATAGATTATTTTCAGTTTTAAGAAGTTACTGCTCTATAAGACCTTTCATGTGCTGTATTTAGGTAGAACTTTATGTAGGATAAATTCCTAATAAAATTCTTTTTCTTAGTTGGATGAAAGAACAAAATTTTAAGTCCAGACACTGATGTATTTAAAATGTATATGTTTATTAATCGCTGTATTTTTCGCAATGACCTGATCCTGCTTTTTTAGTTTAGTAGTAAGATTAAGAAACTTGGGGAGTATTTTTTGTTATTTTGATCTGGTCAGATCCTAAAAGTAATGATTTATAATAGGGGAAAAAGAACCCTCTAATGGCTTTCAGAATTCTTAGAATTCGCATGTTATGGTTGAGGGTGTCGATAAATAGCATCTCCTTCCCTGTCTGAGGCCAGATGGTTTCAGAGATGGAGGCAGAAGGCAGGCTACTGGTGGTCACCTGCACAAGCATCGCAGCCACATGGCTAAGCGGCTCCTTACTGATGTATCCACAGTCACAGAAGGACCAGGGCAGCTAGGGCCTGTGAGATCCCAGAGTGAGCAAAATGTCAGGCTAAGCTGTCTGTCTGGTGCCCTTCCCACATCATTAGATAAGTAATTGTCCTGTTTGGAAAAGGTAATGACAAAAAAGACAAGTGTGCTCAGAAATAGTTAGAGAACTACGTGGAAATGAAAGGGGAGAGATGTTCTCCCCAGCATGGTTAGGCAAGATGATGCTGGTGGCCTGCACACAAGGAGTGGGGAGGTCAGGTCTACCAGGGTTTTTTTGTTTTTTGTTTGTTTGTTTGTTTGTTTTGGTACCAGGGGTCGAACTTGGGACCTTATGCTTGTGAGGCAGGCAGCAGAACCACTGAGCTAAATCCCAGCCCCTACCAGGCACATTTAACTGCAGCCCAAAGATCACTTGTCCTCTTTAGGAAAAAAATGTAAAAGAAGTTTTGTTATTTACATGCATGACCTGTGTTTTATGTGTGGCCCAAGACAATTCCGCTTTACTCAGCCTGACCTACGCAAACTAAAAGGCGAATTGCAGCCTACGTAGATTACATGAAGGACATTGGCCTTAGGAGCAGTTGAGAAGACAGCAAAGGATTTTAAGCTGAGGAAAGAGACCATGATCAGTGCTTGAGAAAAGGTCATTCTGGTTGTGGTGAGAATGGAGTAGAAGAGGTTGCAGCATGGAAGTCGGCTGTAGGAGTCCAAGTCGGAGAGGATGGCAGCTTGAAGCAGGTTATTGGCAGTGACAATCGAAATACGGAAGATCCAAGATATTTTAGAGGTAAAGTGAATAGACATTGCCTCTGCTTTGTTGTTGGGCTGTGAGGAAGAAGGCAGCGCCTAGAACTGCCCAGAGTTTTCTAGCTTAAGCAGCTTCATGGGTTCTGGGCCCATCACTGACACTGGGTCACTGGAAGAATAAATTTGTAGGAGATAGAACTTGATGTCTCTTCGTACTGAAGGGCCTGTGGAGCGTCTGCCTCGGAGTATCATGTGGAAAGCCGGAAGTTACACGGCCTGGAACTCCCCAGGGAAGATGTGTCTCAGATAGTTGGCCTACATAATTTGCAGTTAGAGATGTGACTGAGAGGTCCCACTGGACTGCATACTGGAGTCTCTTGAGCTGCAAAGAAAGACCAGCCAAGGAGACTGGTTGAGCACTGCTTTTAGTGGCTCCTCTGGTAATACTAACATGCAAGTGAGAGTGAGACGTGGCAGGCTAGAGAGCATGAGCTGAGATGGAAGAAGAGCTAGGATCGAGTGTTGAGGGACACTAGTTGTTAATGGCAGTCAGAGAACGCCAACCTGCCCAGGAGACTGTTGAGAGGTGGCCAGAGAGGGAGGCAGCAGTCGGTGTGGTGTCATGAGTGAGAAGCATTAGCATAGGTCTGGGTTTAGCAGCACAGATGTTGGTCAGTAGCCAGGGAGAGCTGTCAGTCTGGGAACAGAAGGCAGTTGCAGCGTGTTCACAAGTGTGAGGTGCTGTACGCAGGTGCTCAGCGGGGACAGTGGAGCCTGAGGTGTGCCTGGGTTAGGTAGCAAACTGATTCCACTGGTTTAAGTGGTGGTAAAAACTTAACTCCATTCAAGAGTTCCAGAAGGTGGTGGCTCTAGAATTATACGTTCAGTGACCCAAAATTGTCATGAGAGACCTAAGTTTCTCCATCCAGATGTGACTTGGTCAGTAGGTGCCCCTCAGGCCACTGTGGTTCAGTCATGAAACCAGATATTACAGCTTTTTTTTGAATCCTTTAAAAAGGATCTTAAAGTACATACAGTAAAGTAAGGGGAGTATAAAGTGTGTAGTTAGATTTTCAGAAATCAGACAACTGAGCCTAGTACTCATCCTAGCTCCAGGGCCCCAGCACCACCAGTCACCACCTGCTTCCTCCCCCAGGACAACTGCTGTCCCATCTCCCCTGGGTTGGTTTTGCCTGTTTTTGCACAATGTAAGTGATAGCATGCTATCTACTCTTCTGTGTTTGGTCTTAGCCTTCTTTTTGAGATCCATGTTGCTGCATGTACTTGCCGTGTTTTTCGTTGTATGAATACACCGCACTTCATTCTCTTTTTGGTGGGCATTTTTGGTGGTGTCTAGGATTTGGCTTTTGCGGATAAGTGTGAACGTATGCATCCATTTCTTTTGAATATAATCAAGGAGTGGCATTGTTGGAACAGGGTATGCTCGTTATGTTCAGCATTAGTGCCTGGTTTTCTCGTATGGTTGTGTCCTTTTAGGATCTTAACTAGCAGCATACACTCTTCAGTTCCGTGTCATTAGCACTTGCTGTTTTGTATTTTTCATTTTAGATGTCCTGGTGGGTGTGTAGAGGTGTAGCACTGTGATTTAAAATTGCATTTCTATAATTTGATTAGAGGTGTTAAAGTCGAATTTTTTCATATGCTTATTGAGTATTTGAATATTCTCTTGTGATGTGTCTATTGGCCTATGGCTCTATTTTTCCCCCCTCCCAAGTTGAATGTCTTTCTTATTTGTAGGGGCTTTTTTGTTTGCTTTGAATTCTAGATGTGAGTCATTGGTCACATACATACCTTCTCACACTCAGTGGCTTGCCTTTTCATTCTTATTTTCTTTTCACCAAGAAATTGCTAATTTCAGTGGTATTATCAGTTTTTTTCTTCATGGTAAGCACTTTTTGTATCCTGTTCTTAACCCTTGTTTACTCTAAGGCCACCAAAATTTCCTGCATTTCTTCTAAATGATTGACTATTTAAGTTTGACCTGAAGGCCTTCTGGAGCTGGTTTTTTAAATTTAGTGTGAGGTAGCGTTCACAACTCCCAAGAATATTCATGTGGCCCAGCACCATTTATTAAGAGAGTGTTTTCTTTCCGTTTCTCTTTCCTTTTCCATTGGTCAAGTTGTCTGTGTAGCCTTTTGGTAGGTACTGCTGTCTGGTAGTATCAAGTTACCTAGTTTTGTTCTTATCTCTTTTTAAGAGTGATGAATTTATATTTTTGTGGCTGTGATGTGAAGAACCAGTGAATTTAAACTAGGTAAGCAAGGAAGATTTTTTAAAAGTGGTTAAGTCAGGGAGTGAAACAAATAGTTGAACGAGTAAGATGGAATAAGCAAAGTACTAAGAAAGAGTTGAACGCCTGAATTACAGATTTAAGGGTTGGAGCGGTCTGGAGTGCTGCCAGGTTCCGTTAGCAGTGGCAGGAGGGGGCTGAGTCAGGGTGTAGGAGGAGGTCATTGACGAGAGGGAAGCCAGGCCTGAGAGATGAGGGTGTGGCTGTGTCAGCATTCACAGTTTACAGAATGTATTTTCTAACAGTGTCTCATTTAATATGTATCTCAAGACAACTAGAACAGAATTATTTTCCTCATTTTACAAGGGACAGACTGGGCCCAGAGAAGTTAATGACTTGGGCCCTAAGAGAAAAGTTGGATTTGTCCCAGCGTCCATGCTTTGTCCAGTCCGGCTTAGCAGGTGCGTCGGAAATGCAGATGTTTCTGGAGATCAAGGTCTTCCTTATCTTGGAAGGCAAGGTAGTGCAGCAAAATGTAGAAAGACTAAGTGATGCCCAGATAAGAGGCTGATAAGATACATGCGCAGGGGATATCTCAGAAATACTGAAGTCCTTATTCCTGGGCAGTTGTGATTATGACTCAGGGTTACTTTTTCCCTTTCACTTTTCTGTATTTTCCAAGTTTCCTATACTGGACTTACATTATATGGATCTTTCACAATTAAATTACTTTTGACTAGATGATATACATGGAAAATTCAGAACGTGCAAATAGATGTACAATATACAGTACTTTCATAATGAAAAATGTTTAGATATTTTATTTCTTGATTTTCTTTTTAGAAATGCACTTGGTGATGGAAAGAGAGCCACTATTCTGAAGTGCTCCTGGCCAAAGGTAGGTTTCTTCTGTGTAGTATTTTACATTGAGCAAGTTAACACCATACAACTTTGTGAAAGTCGGTTTACCGCGTGTGTATTCATATATTAAAATGCTGAATAAAATTGGGCAGAGCTTAAGAATTGGAAGGTAGAATCTTTGAGGTCCACTGTTAGTACAAGGACTGAGCCACCGCCAGAAGTGGGGTGCTGGAGCTGCATGCCTGTGTCTGAAAAAAGCCTGCAGGAAGGCTTGAAAGGCTGCAGAGGCACTTCCCGGCTGGGAGGTGGCCTCTGCACGGTGTGCTGAGTGGTCCTAAATGGGAGAAATGAGCCTAAAGTCTTACGTGGACCACAGAGTTTCGGTACAACCTTGAGGTAGGAAAGAATTCTTTTTTTTTTTTTTTTTTTTTTTTT